GGTCAGCCTTGGATTCGTATTGAAATGATTCTATCATTTTTGAGATTGTATCTCAGTACAGCTTTTCCCACTCTTTTGTTGACTATGAGGGCTACTTCATTTTTTCTATGGGATTCTTGCCCACAATAGTAGATATGATAATCATCTGAATTGAATTTGCCCAATCCTGTCCATTTTAGTTCACTGGTGCCCAGGATGTCAATGTTTATTCTTGCCATCTCCTGTTTGACCCCGCCCCTCTAGACCATGTCTACTCGGGGCGGCTCCAGCTTACCAAGCTTCATAGATCTTACATTCCAGGTTCCTATGCAGTGTTTTTCTTTGAAGCATCAGACTTTCCTTTCACTTCCGGGTGCGTCCGCAGCTGAGCGTCCTTTCAGCTTTGGCCCAACCACTTCATTAGCTCTGGCTTGACTTGACCTTGTCCTCCACTCTTCCTCAGTAGCATATTGGACACTTTCCAGTCTGAGGGGCTCATCTTCCAGCATCATATCTTTTAGCCTTTTGTTTCTGTCCATGGAGTTTACAAAAAGTGCCCTGCACAGCCCAGCCCATAGCTTCTCTGAATTACTCAAGCCCCTTTGCCACAACAAGGCAGCAATCCATGAAGAGGACAAGACAGCAATCCATGAAGGGGGAAGGTTCAAGGCAGTGGTGTAGTGAAATGGTGACAAGACAGCAATCCATGAAGGGGGAAGGTTCAAGGCAGTGGTGTAAATTTGTGAAATGGTGAAACGGACAAAAATGATAGGTATAGGAAATGTATGGCTATTTCTCTATTTGTTGCTTGTTATAATGCTTAACTGAACCCAATGGGCATGTGGCTGTATGGCACATAGGCTTTATTTCCAAGGAAAAGTGAATGTATGGTTTTCCAAAGTGTGTGTGTGTGTGTGTGTGTGTGTGTGTGTGTGTGTGTGTGTGTGCGTGTGTGTGTGTGTGTGTGTGTGTGTATCTTGAATCCATACTTAATGACTCTTACTGTAGACCCAATGAAATAAAGTTAGCCGTAAGTTCCTCATTTCTTTGATTATAAGTCGGTCTGTTTACTCTGTTACTAACATGCATATATATGGATCAAATGAGCCTACAGGTACACACAAATGTCTAATGTGCTTTAGTAAGATCAGAAATCTTTACTCTTAAAATTCAGTTAGTCATACCCACTTAAATGCACATTTGAACTGCAGATAAGAATATGGACAACTACATGTAAAGATTTTTGTTTTAATGAGCAAGGAAGATTTGTTTTTCTGTTCAGGGTGCCATCCTCTCCAAAACATCAAGATTTAAAGAATTTTACATTCTGTTGTTCATGGTCAGATAAAGAATTTCCTTATGAAAATTTGCTTGTGCATTTACCAGATGAAACAGGTTTAGAAAGCTGCTGTCTTCCTCATCATGCTCTCCTAAGCAAAATAAATAAGGAGTTAAAAGAACAAATACTAGTTTGAAACCGATATTGTAGAACATGTTTAAAACGTACAAGCAAGAGGATTATGCTCAGAACTGCTCCATGTAAAAAGTGTAAACTAGCTCTCCTATTTCAGGGATCATTTTAATAGCATGAATCCTACCTGTCTTGGGTGAAGAGTCCACCCACCAAGATTTTATTTACATTTTGTTATATTCTGACTACAAAGGTTATATTTTTGTAAACGTTTAATAGGAAATGGAACACTCACAGCTCATGGTGCTGCATATGCAGTACTTATATGTAGCAGCAGAATTAATCTTTCATTTCTTTTTTCAGTTCTACAATGTGAAGTATGACATTTAGAGAATTACAAATTTATAAGGAGTCTTGGCTACAACTCTCTGAATGTTTACTGGGCTTCATTTCATCTTGAGATTATGTTATTTTATTTTTAAAAGCTGCGTTTCTTAGGTTTAAGTATCTGGTTGCAGAGCCAAAGGTTAGGAGTTTAATTCCCCACTGTGTCTCCATGGAGAACAGCATGCCTATATAATCATGGGCAAGCTGCACAGTCCCAGGGTGCCTCGAGGAGGAGGAAATGGTAAACCACTTCTGCATATTCTCTGTCTAGAAGCCCCTGGAAAGGGTTGCCATACGTTGGAACTGAAATGATGGCTTATACAGTGGTGCCCCGCTTGACGATGATAATCCGTTCCAGGAAAATCACTGTTAAGCAAAATTGTCATCAAGAAAAAAAAACATTGGAATGCATTAAAAACTGGTTAATGTGTTCCAATGGGGAAATAGCTTCTGTCTGGAAAACAGCCATTTTGCGAAGGGAGGGAAGCCATTTTGCAAAGGGGAGCCATTTTGTGGAGCCAGAAAAAACATCATTTTGCGAACAAACGGTTCGCGAAGCAGGCACCTAATCAAAGTAAAGCGAAAAAACCCCATAGGAACCATTGTATTGCGATCGCTATAGCAATCGCAAAAAACTCGTCAAGAGATTTGGTTTTCAAGTGGGGTCACCGTCAAGCGGGGCACCACTGTACAGTAGTTATTATTATTCCCATGAACCCAGTGTTCAATTCCATATTTTCACTTGATTCTGGGTATGGAAAATTTTATATGATGGATAAAAGGAAGAAAGGCAAACAGAACAGCATAAGAAATCCAAGATGCAAAACCAAGTTTGTTTATGTTACAACTGTAGCGCTTAGAAAGGACACAAAGGATTATAAAGAACAACCTGCTCTTGAAGCAAGAAATCCACAGTTAAAGATCAGCAGCTACAGGCCTTAGTAGTTCCTATTGGAACAGGCAAAAAAAGCTTTTACATTTGAAGAAAGCTCTCTTTTTTTGGAACTTGAAGCATCCACCTAAATTGTTTCCTGCATCTACAGTATTTAGAACACTGTTTGTTTGTTTTTTAATGGAGAAGGAGAATCCACTCAAGCTGCCAGTTTCAGATCATAAAGACTAAGACACTGAATAGGATCAATGATTCTAACATGGAACTCTTACCAGATATCACTGACTGAAGTGCTTCCATGATAATATGTGCAAAGGCATTCTCTACACTTTGCAGGAAGTTATTCCTTTCTCCCTGTGTTCTGAAAACCTTGCAGACCTTCTGCATCATTTTGACAGCCCAGTCCATGCAATAGAGGTCCTTCTCACATACCTGATGCAACAAAAGCAGGAAACATCCACAAAACAAAGTTTCGCCTTTATTTCTTGCTCTTCATACCCATGAATGTATTTGTTGGGTCTCAAAGACTCATTGTTAATAAAACTTAATTTCTGACAAGGCCAGAAGATCCCACTGAATATTATGTTGTTTAGAGAACATTTGTATTTGTTTTTTAACTAGATAAATGACTAAAAGTGTATTTGTCCCCCTGTTTGTGCTGTGTTTCTTACTCTTCCTCCTTATGCCAATAAAGATTTTATCTATCTATCACTCTTCCTCTGGATTAGATGGCCCTAATCATGGGTCCCCAGATGTTGTTGGACTACAACTCCCAGAAATCCTGGCCAGCCCAGCTAGTGGTGAAGACTTCTGGGAGTTTTAGTCCAAGAACATCTGGGGACCCAAAGCTGGGAACTACTGCTGTAGGTATTTACTGCATCAACTAGATGATGTTAGCACTAATCACAAATAGGCATGAGTATGTGGTATATTTTGTTCAGCCAGCAAGATTATATTTATTTGTAGCATTTCCACTCAAACTATTTTGTCTTGATTTTCATTTGTGTGATCCCTTATGTTGGTTCTATAGGCCCATTGCTGGGCATGTCCAGATATCATAACTGATTATGCACAGTGGATCATGGTGTATGGTGAACTCTACTCCTTTTGCCTGTCTTCTGCTCTCACTCGTTAAGGACTGAACTAACTGCAGAGTAATTTGTGAATTATATCTTTTAAAAAACATTTTTCTTCTAGTTTAGTGCTACAACTGTAGTGTTAGTTCCCTTATTAAATATTGACCAAAAAGGGGGAGGGAATCTGAATGCCTACAAAATGAGTAGATAAGAAGGTGGTGATACTGTCAGAATGTGGGAGAAGGGGAGTTGTGTGATATGTGGACACTTGAAATGGAACTTTCCATGAGCATTAAACTTTCTGTGTGATCTGCACAGTGATTTAAATGCCAGGGTGAGATACAGTTTGCATCACCTCAGGACAAACAACTGTGTGATAACACCCTACAGTTATCCAATGAGGGCATGATGGAGTTTATTTATTTATTTATTTATTTATTGGACTTATATACCGCCCCATAGCGCTACAAGCACTCTCCGGGCGGTTTACAATTTTAATTATACAGGCTACACATTGCCCCCCCAGCAAGCTGGGTACTCATTTTACCGACCTCGGAAGGATGGAAGGCTGAGTCAACCTTGAGCCGGCTACCTGGGATTTGAACCCCAGGTCGTGAGCACAGTTTTAGCTGCAATACAGCATTTTAACCACTGCGCCACGAGGCTCCTGGCTTGAGTTGAGCTCAAGGCTTCCAGATTCATAGATTTAAAACAGTCTTCTCCTAGCTGCTACCTTCCAGATGTACAGTACTGTGACAGAAATTTTCATCACCATCAGCCGTTGCCAATAATGGCTTGGAATCATGGGATTTTAATTTGACATATCTGGAGGGTGTCAGTTAGGAAAATATAGGTCTCAGCAAGGATAAGTTTGTTGTACAAAACTGTAAACAAAACAGTTCTCCACATTGAGAGCAAAACATGCCACCAGCTATGCTGTCATAGATATATTTTAATGCAGAATAATTAACGTCTCAGACATGATATTAAAATTTCCCTCCTTAATTTTTTTCTGTAATTTAGGCAACTTGCCTGAAAACAGATGTGAGATCAAAGCTGTAATTGTATTTAACGTGCTTACTCTCCTTTCCATACTATATAAGAACTAAAAGCAGGTGTATGTGTGAGGATTTGGACTGCAGTCTGAGGCGGAAGTTACCTGTCCCCAGCATTGCTATTGTGATACAAATGCCCTGGCCCTGCAAAGCACTTATTAGCCCTGGGAAGTGGGAGGGAAGAGCTTCCCTTAGTGTGCCAATGGTAGTTTCCTCTTATGCTAAACAGAAACTTGGGAAGGGGAGGTCAATGAAATCATAGTGGAGAGGGAGGATTAATACTCTTTCTCTACATACCATCATCCTGATTCTGGCTGCACAGTTGTTATCTAAAACCATCTAATATATCGAGTCTTAATATTGATAGATATTAATATTGGGAAGAAGAAGATATTAAATAAAAAGGAATCTTGCGTGTTCATTAACACTTACCAAAGCTAGGAAAACTGTAAGTCTTGCTAGTTCAACAGCTCTGCCATTCACTGCCTTACTAGCCATAAATGTGAAGCAGATATTGTTTCCACACAAGATAAGAAGACGGGCACTGTTTTCCAGTAGCCATTCCCTGGGAACTACTATAAAAATATGAAAGACTGTGTGTTTATGTACACATAATTTATTTTTTTGTTAATTTTTATTTGCTGCTATTGCAAGCTGTATTCTTTCAAAGTGTTTGCAGTAGAACACCAATAAAATACCGTATATCAATTTAATGAAATAAACAATAACATGTCTAACAGCCAACACCATTGCAAAGAATGCAATGCCTTATAATTTAAACTTTAGCAGAAAGGCCATTTGTTGCTTGCAGATTGCAATTAAACACCTAAGTTTTATCATGAATTCAAAAAAACAGGTACTGCTGGATTACTTTACTACAGTCCTACTTATCTAAAAGGAAGGCCTATTGAACAACAGGTCTGAAATCTGAGCAGCTCAATGGGCATAAAAGTTGGCAAAGGAAGGAGTGCCCCCTTGTGTCTTCTTTCACATCTCCAAAGGTTCTCTACAAAACTAGAAGTTGATTTCTGGTTACCTCTGGTTTTAGGGTGGGGGCCTAGATGGATTTTTCCACACCACGAATAACCTCCCCCTTCTTCAGCAATCTTGAAGCACAGGGAGCACATCTGGATGTCTATATAGATCTTATAGTATATATGTGCACATGTGTAAGTTTGGTCCTGCCACTTGACCCTCATGGCCCACAAGGATGTTCACTCTACAGTATATGCTAACAAGAAAAAGATGTGCCACATGCCCATATTTGCTGGTGGATTGCAACAGCCAGATATTCCCAAATAACTCCTCTGCTAGTCCTAAACTCCATCATTGTTTAAAACTTGTTTGATTTGTAACATGTAACATATTTCCTCTCCCTTTCCCTCCACTCAGATCTTCTGCCAAAGTCTTCCTACTTCTAACAGTCTTTTACTAACAAAGACTAGAGTAACATAAGAAAAAGAATAGTGCTATAAAATGCATTACTAACTCTCAAATTGTAGAAAACTAGATCCTGCAAAGAAAGAATGCATTGAATCTCATGTTTACCTTCAAAGCTGTACACTGCAAAAGTGTATGGAGAAATATTGCATTGTGCTCCTTCAGAAACATTTGATGGTGGATCAAAATCAGTTCACATAGCCTGGAACATTCTTTCTGAATTGTGAACAGTGTGTATCTATATGTATCTTGGATAAATTTTTGCAGCAGAGAGCAAGATTGCTGTGGAATGCTGTGGAATTGCCTTATGGTCTCACAACAGGGTTTCCTAAAACAATGCAAAATCTTGTAGCTCCTTAAAAATACATTTATTTTGGCACAAGCTTTTGTGACTGCAGTCCATGAAAGCTTGTGCCATAAATAAATTTGTTGTTTATTATGATGCCACAAGACTCTTTGTTGCTTTTATTGGAGCAAACTAAAGTGAATACTTGGACTATAGCTTCTAATTTACTGTTCCTCTGCTGCCAACAAACTAGGTGGGTAGTAAAATGGGATAATCAACCTCGGCATGCACTGAAAGAATGAGTGAACGAATCCTGTGCAATGGAGGATATAATTAATAATCTAGTACTCCACCTGAGCCTCAGGTTGTCTGAACGTATTCTAGGTTTAATGGCTACCTGATCGTATATTGGATTCTGAGGAAAGAAAGAACATTCTCTAAGGTGCAGAATAAAGGCGAAACTGTACCTGAAAGTTCATCCAACAGACTGATCACATCATCTGCTGTCCACTCCTTTGCCTCTGTGTCATAAAGCAACTTAATGGCATCTGCCAGCCCTTTCAAACTGGTTTCATCTGTTGGATTGTCAGTCATTTTCTGCCAAACCACATGCCCTGCATTACATTATTCACAAGGGTCACTATGGAAGCGATTAACTTTGGACAAAAGTTGGCATTACCCCTTTAACTCAAAAGAGAACAATTTGTGTTAGACTTTTCCCAGGTGGGTGACTCCTAGCACTGTTCAAGTCACTGCTCTTCTGCTGTAAGCTTTAAATAGAATTGCAGTTGCTTTTACACACTTTCAGAAGTATTGCAAATTTCATCCCAATAAATTCTGTTCATGCCAGGGTGTGTGGCATAGACGTTTTAGGGAGTTCCATATCAGCAAAAGTGGCCATTTGAAAAAAACATTGTGAATACTCTTCTATGTTTGTTTGGCCATATGAGATAATCTAATTGTTAGCCCCAACTAACAGAAGACTAACTGCTGTTAAATCAGTGTTGACTTAACAGAGACCTGCTCATTTCCAGCTGTAGCTGGGACAAGCAATTGGGTTTTGCCCTAAATATTTATTTATTTAATTTAAAATAGTTTTAACATGCCTTTCTCCTTAAAAGGACCCAATAATGATTGTCCATTACAACCTATGAACTATAAGAAAAGAAAAGAAATATATAGATAGGAAATGTTTAGTAAAGAGATAACATGTTGCTAAAATGGCAGGGACCAGATACGTACAAGCAATTGGGTTTTGCCCTAAATATTTGTTTATTTAATTTAAAATAGTTTTAACCTGCCTTTTTCCTTAAAAGGACCCAATAATGATTGTCCATTACAACCTATGAACTATAAGAAAAGAAAAGAAATATATAGATAAGAAATGTTTAGTAAAGAGATAAAATGCTGCTAAACATTTCCTATCTATATATTTCTTTTCTGGCTCCACAAAAAGAAATATATAGATAGGAAATGTTTAGTAAAGAGATAACATGTTGCTAAAATGGCAGGGACCAGATACGTTTTTTTTTATTATTATTTTTAAAATATGTGCTATAAGTGGTGGCTGCTTCAGAGGTTATAATGAACATGTGCTGAGCTGTGGTAGGTTGACTTCACAAGAGGACATCTCTGCAGACACCAGTTTATCAGGAACAACTCAGGACTTCATGTCTCCTGTGACTACCATGAGCCTGTCTCGAGTGATATCTGGCTCCACTCCTGTTGCAGGGCAAACTCTTGTCTTGGCTTTCTGTACTGGGCAGGAAGGTAGTGATCTGGGTGTGGAAGAACTCTCAGTAGATTGTTGTCATGGACGGAGAAAACTCTGAGCCTCTGCAGTGGTGGGGTGGGAGCAATTAAAATGGTCTTCCCTAGGAGACTAATGGTTCCAAATGGTTCCCTAACACTTTTGGGGAGTTCCCTGCTGTTTCGCCAGAGGATCCTGTCAAGGCCCTTTTCAGTGGTTGCTCTCAGGCTTTGTAATGTGCTACCCCAAGAAATCAGACTGACCTCTCCCTCTTGTCCTTCCATCATCAGACAAATTCCTTCCTTTTTCATGAAGGCTTTTAAACAATAAGTGTCTTGGGAATACTTTATTACAGATTTTAATTTTAAAAAATATTTTAAAATAGTTTTTATCCTTGGTTTTAATCTTGATATATGTTTGTTTAGAATATTATACGTATTTATTTGATATTTTAAAACTGTTGATTCTTTTATCGTTCCAGTTGTGAACTGCCTTGGGTCCCCTAGAAAGGCGGTGTATAAATATCAATTGACCAACCAACCAACCAATATCTAGGCTTCAGTTATTAAAACAACTTACCATCCAGAGTAGAGATAGGCCCAAATATAATATATAGTAGTCGGGCTTGATTTACCATCGGCCAAGGTTTTAAAATACGTGTTAGCCAAAATGCAGAATCACTTTGATTAACCCAGTGATTTAACAGGACACTGCGGCAAAATATTCTTATCCTCAGCTCCAGCTTTCGAGCACTTCCTAGGATAATTCATAAAAATGTATAGAAATAAATAAGGCTGGAAAGTATGCTGCTGTTACCGTGTTACAATCTATAGTTGGCAATAGTTGCTTGGTGGTGTTTCTAGAAACCCAGAGGCAAATCCCTCTTGACTGTACACTTCCTTGGTTCAATACAAAAGATTACAGAACCCAAAGACCCAAATTTACCCTCTCTGTACATGGAACTTTTACCAGGCTTGCCGCTGACAACTGTGTGGACTCTCCGGGGTAAACTAGTCAGGTCACAGAGGAAGTTATAAACACAATGACATTCTAATTCATCCCAGCCAGCTGTTAACATCTGAAGAAATGTAGAAAAATACATTAAAATAAAAATAAAGTCAATGAAATCATTAAATAACCAGGTTATTCAGCCAGCATGTGTGTATCTGTGTATGTAAATATAAGAAATGTATTTTCTATCTGATGTACATGCATTGCACATGCTATGTAAACTGTCTTCACTACCACAAGACATAGTGATGGCTGCCAAAATGAATAGCCTTAAAGGAGGATTGGATGAATTTAGGCATGTTAGAGCCATCAGTGAATACTAGCTGGAAAACCATGTATCATTTTCATATATCAGAAGAATTACGCCTCAGTATATCAGTTGCTGAGGAACATAAAACAGAAGGTATAGTTGCACCCATGCCCTCTTCTGGTGGACTGCCAAAAAGCAACTGGTGGCCCACTATACTGTATAAACTAAAAGTTGGCTGAGATAGGCCTTTGATCTGATCTAACATGGCTCTTCTTATATGCTCTATATTAGCTGCACTTTTTGGAGGCGATACAAAGCTGAGCTCCAACAGTCTACCTCTATCTCTACTGTCTCTTTGTGAGAGGGAGGCAATAGATTAAATGAAGATGCAAAGCAAAAGCATCAAGTACCATATCAGCTAACAGGGCAACGAATCTCCGATGCACTGGTAAAAGATTTGAGAGTTTTTGGGAGAGAGAAACCAGTCTTCCAAAGACCAGTAACTGCACTGAACACTTCAAAAGTTATGATTAACCCCCCCCCCAAAAAAAAAATCATAGGGCCAAACTATAAAGCAGAAGAGTTAATTTTTCAACTGCTGGAAGATGTGTGGTTGTCACTATAGAAGCTTTCATGGCTTGTGTAGCCTGCAGTTTGCATTTTAACTTATTTTGTGATTTTTCTTTTGCATGTAAAGAGGTTTGTTTGAAAGACTGACTGCTCCATCATAAAGGTATGCTTAAATCACATTTATTTGGGATAAAGATTTCAGCTTCTGATAATGAGCTATAGTATTTGTAACTGCAACATACAGTTTGGCCCTTACAGTCTGACTGTGCCAGCATTAGCAGTTACAAGTCTCATATTTTAGCATTATAGAAACACAGAGGGCAGTTTTGATTGCAGGGAACAAATAAACCTGAAAAAGCTGAAACTCCCAAATAATTTGAGAAGACATTATGGAGGAAACTAGTGTTAGATATAGGAGATGATTCTGTTCCTATCTCATAATGGCTAAAAACCTGTTAGCATAATACGTTGCACTAGAAGAAGCCCATTGAACCATATAGGATGTTGTGAGTATGCTCCTCTGTAAGTTCTATTGGTTCAAATGGGCCTACTCCAGCTGCAACCAACTTTGGAGTTGTAAGGTTAGGGAAACAGGTTGAGTAATAGCTCCTATTGATTATTATTTCTAGAGCATTTTTGTGCATTTTGCAAAATAAATATTCTGGACTATAACCAGATTTGGATGGTGCAACTAACTTCATAGAAGTAGACGTCCTGCCCCATCCTCCTCAAGGGAACCCCTCCAACATCTTGAGATTATTATACACAGGGTCAGGATATCTTACAAAATTGTGTTTCTATGGTACCAGGAACGATTGGATCTACCCCAAATCAGGCAGAACCAACTTCATGCATGTCGACAGAAGCCAGAGGGGTTTCCTCTGATTTCAGAGTGGAGGTGAGTTCTGAAATGGTGGGATGAGGTGCCCACACATGGAGCATTAAGCTCTACTAGAAACAAGAGACTGGGGATTCTGTTTAATTTGTAGCATGTATTTGTATCCTAAGAGCTGGTCAGAAGCATGCAGAGAACCCCCTCACTAGCTCATTTCTTTCCTGTTGTGAAAAAAAAATCATTTAAAAAGTCATCAGATAGAAACTATATTTTCCATCACACAAATAGATGACTTTCCCTTTTTCCTCCCAAAAAGTATCCTGCAATAAGTACTATCATCTGTCAGCAATGTCCTTCTGCAGCCTACACAAGACAAACAAACCAGTCACCTCAGTGACTCACAAAGAAATAAATTGACATAAATCTGACATCAGAAAAGGCAATATTCATAAACTAGTAGGGAACATTTCCATCTCCCATAACATTCTGTCACTGATCTTAAGATGGTTATTTTGAACTGAAAGTGCTCCCCCACATCACAATATAATACATCAAGAAGTTCATCTCTACATCCTGTGGCTTGAACAGGGACAATTACACTGCATATGTTAATTAACTGACCAGATGAAACATGTCTGCATTTATCATCTCCCAATCTGTTTTGTGAATGGTTAGATTAGATAATAAATGTTTGTATTTTATGGATTCATTTGACTTCGGCCTCACTGGAGAACATGCCATGCATTTGATGAAATGGACTCCAGTCCACAAGGATGTCCTAATAAACTGGTAGTATTTCAGATGCTGTAATTTACCTGTAAAAAGACCCCATAACATTGTAGTCCAGAACAGTGCAAAGGATCCAAGCAACCATTAAGTTTAAAGCAGGAAATCTATAAAGATTAAAGAGAACCAAACAAGCTTATTTCAATTAACTTATTTTAGATACCACAAAAAATGTAACAGTTTAATAGATTCAACTTTAAAAAAACTGTCATGCTTACTTCTGAAAGTATGTTGTGTATGTATTTCAACCTCTCCTTTGTGGGCAGCAATAAAGTACACCTTTTTAGCAACAGAGCTGCAAAGAGACAGAAGCATGCAAAAACATTTGAAATTCAATAATCTCAATGTGAAATAATCTGAAATCATTTGGGGGGAATTATGAGCAGAAGTGAATATATTTTAATCAGCTAAAATCAGGATATAATTAGGAGCACCAAATAATACATTCTTTTCTTTCCAGTTCCTCAAGGCCTGTCTCTTGAACAAATGCTGTTCTAGAAGTCTTAAAGCAGAAATTACAGGGCAATTTTGCTGAAGGTGATTAAAAAAACCTTACTGGAGGATAACTGAATATCCTCTATTTCTTAAGGCAGCTCTGATTCTAATTGTGAAGTTGTTGTTTTGTCTGTTTCTGTTCTACGCATTCTTGCTCCGTCACTGCCAGTGCAACCTGACTTTCTTATATCCTATCCTCCTACTTGCTGAAAATCCCAGTCCTTTGCTTCTCCTTTGTACAAAGAATGTAAGCATTCTGGCTGCAATCAATGTCACATCAATGTTCTGCACAACACTTATCAACCTTCAGGTAACTTAATAAATGTTTATTATGATCAGAGTTAGTTGTAAACTGAATTAGTATCATTTGCTTCAAATCAATGCTTTAAATTAAGCTGAGGCAGCTGAAAATTTTCCCCAGATTAATTGGTTAATTACATTAGTATAAAGATGAAGTCCTCTAACACCTCAGAGAATTTTGGTTCCTTATGCTGAAGCTTGCACAACAAAGTCTGTCGATAGAGTAGTTTTTAAAAGGCCCCATAGATAAATAACACTTGAAGTCTTGCAAAAAATAATATGTCAGTTTTAGAATGACAGTTGCTAAGAGCATTCACATTTTAAAAAATAACACAATCAAACTTGAAAATAAACCAGGGCAACCCAGTTGATTCTTGTCCATCCTGAAAGAATTTTGAACATTTTTCCAAGCAGCATCAGAGGAAATTTTATTCCAAATGTTTTAACATAGCACATAATGAAGGAATGACAGGAGAGTTAGCATATTGTAGAATTTAGAACAGCTTTTGTGGTAGGAAAAAATATTCCTGCCAATGGAAAATTATTATTTAATGTTTTCTTCAAAACATTTGAATAAACACTGCCTTGTTCAGAACATCTGGTACTGAGGACACTGGAAATATATCCAGGTGACAAGCTAAAAAAGGCAAAGTAACAAAACCTGTCTACAGAGTTACTGTACTACTACAATGGCTGAAGGGTGGACTTGCAAGGAGGCAGGAATTCATATCCTCACAGACTGGAGTACTCACTGCATGGTCATGTTGCTCCTCCATCCCAGGGCAAGAAATTCTGCACATCTTGTATAGCTAGCTGTCCATTTAAAAGATGATAATGATCAACCCTCTGATGATACTGTCTGAATTTTATATGCCATTGTTTTGGCTATAGGAGCTTTTCCAGTGAGCTGGATTTAAGCTAATTTTATCTGGTTTAAATGCAGGAAAGTAATAGTGCATGTACAGGGAGAAAGGATAAATAACATTCACCAAAATAGTCTGCTGGTCACTGATAGAGCACATGCACTTCAGACAGAAGGTCTCACATCCAATCTGAGTAACATGATCACTTGGAAAGAGAAGAGAGAGTTTGATCAAAGAGTACAGTGGGGTCTTGACTTGAGAACTTAATCCATATTGGAAGGCAGTTCTCAAGTCAAAAAGTCTGTAGGTCAAGTCTCCATTGACCTACAGTGCATTGAAAACTGATTAATCCCCTAACAGGCCATTTTTGTCCCATTTTGGTTTTTTTCTGGTCTGTAAGTCAATTCTCAGGCTGCAAGTCAAACCTAAATTTTGCGACCAGAGAAGTCTGTAACTCAAAAAGTCTGTAAGTCAAGGGTCCACTGTAATATAGATGAAAGTTTTGGGCTGTTTAAGAAAGATAGAAGCATCATTGGTGCAGGAAAGGCTCTGTGAAGGTAGCAGAGCTGGATTTCTGGATGAAAAAGTGGACATACGGCATAAACCTCTATATGCAAAAGAGTCAGGACAGATTGTTTATAAAGTAGCAGAAGTATGAAAGAAAAAGAAAAAAAATGTGTGTACCCAAGGGTATCATAGTATAAATGTGTGAGCAAAGGAAATATTTAACAGGCAAAAACTTTAAAAAGTATTACTCATAAGACACCCTTTACATTCACCAAGCTATAACATCAAGGGAGAGATCAAGTAATTATCCCCAGCACATTTATTGTGCCATAAGCTTGAAAGAATGCATGACGCTCTATCCGGAAATATAGTGGGGGCAAGATAGGAACAAATGCCACGTGAAAAGCTTATGCTATAATTGTCTTTTAAGGTGTCACAAATCACTACTGCTTTTGCTGCATGAGACTGACATGTCTATCATTTTGGAAGTTATAATATTTAAAATCTGTCTCTTAAATACAGGACATGGTAAAGTTCCTTTTTTGATGGCAGAAGAAGAAGAAAGAGTAGGAGTAGAAGTAGGAGTAGGAGTAAAGGCTCCTTAAGGTTCCATTGTCCTGAATACTACAAATGTTGAAAATTCAAAAGACTCCAACCTGTCCCCAACTGCATTGTTATCTGGAAGTGCTGAACTGCTTTAAAATCAGGGTGTCCAAGTATGCCTAAGTAATTTCATTGGACAGTGTGTGGAATCAGTGGGGAAAGTCTACAATTGATACAGAGAACTGATACACGAAGTTTACAACAGAAACCAAGCAGCCAGTTGGCATGAGCACAAGGACAACAATGAGAAAGATGATTTTGGCAGAAGGCATTATAAGTGTGTAAAAGAAACGGTTTCTCAGATTTCTGTTTCTTTAAAACAGGGTAGTTATAAACACATGTAACAAAAGCCCAATGGCTGTTTCTAATAGAGTTTCTCAATCCACTATTTTTTCCTTACATTCTGCTATTTTTCTTGCAAGATCCTAGACATATTTTAGAAGGTGCAATGAAGTCCATTGGAAAAAAAAAAGCAACAGAGCAAATCTTAAGCCAAAATTCCTCCATGCAGCTGGAGGAGTTTAACCAAAAATTCTAAACTGTACAACAAAACCTTGTGTGCAGAAGTTCATCTTCTTAAAATATCCTGGATAATTCATTTTTGTATACTGCTGGATTTATTTTTCTGAATTCAGATTAAATATTTTGTACTTATATTTTTCATATTTATATAGTTTTACAAGATAGCGAATGTTATGGAAGAGATAGTTAAAAGTTGTGAGGATTTTTGGCAGACAGTAAAGGCAGGTTCATAAGGGCAGTAAAGGCTGGGCATTGACTTACCACAGGCTAAACCTAGCAAACTCATTTCTGCCCTCCTTTTTTAATCAGAGTCAGAAAGAATGGCAAACCTGCAGCTCTCTGCTGCTAAAATTCCAGACACACACAGTGTATATGAGAGTGAAAGAAAAAGAGAGGACAGTAGGAGAAGAAGGGAACATTGTCAGATGGGAATATTTCTAATATGGAGCAAAGTGTATTTTTGTTCCTTAGCTGAGTTGTACAGTTAATGAATGGAACACTTATCTCCATGTGTATGTATGAAAGTCTGCATGTGTGCATCAATGCTCACTTTGGACCTGGGTCTGCTCATCACCCTGGCTGTGCCTCCAATTGGCTCCCATACCTTCTACCTTACTAGCCACAACGAGTAAAAGACACCACTGCCCTGAGGAATAACACTATTTTGTGCTTTCACCAGTTTTGATTAAGCATCAAAATGAAATTTAGCTTAGAGATCCTGTGACAAAGACATCAACAACAATTCTCTCATGTTTATATGTGAGACTGAACCTACTGTGAATATGTACATAGGCCATGCTTTGTGGTTATTTATATCACTGTATCACTATATTAAATCAGTGCTGGTCAAAATCATGTTAGTTATGCCCACCAGTATAATGCAAATGGTATCATGTTTGGAGGCAAATTACCCTAAATTTAAAAATCACCATTGACATAATCATCTCAATATGATTTTACCTAATATTACCCCCACCCCCACCCCACATACACACTGTTTTTGATGTGTCATACTGACTAAATTTTCTGACAGATTCTGGGAAATCAGCATTGTCAATAAGAACATTTCACAATTCAGGAACATCATAGGAACAATTCAAGTCAGCTTTGGTCCCCTTTTTTTCTGACATTGTTAACAAAACTAAATATCACAAAAGGAATCTGAGACTTGCATTTGTAGCCATCGATTGAGAAGATAACCTTCGTTCATTATATGATTTTTAATCTAGATTTGGCTTGTACATTTTATTGCCATAGGAAAATACTTCTTTCATCTGCAATATTATCCTTTCCTGTCATTTAATAGGATACAATTTGTAGCATTGTTCTCTTCTCTCCAGTGAACCAAGGGTTTATATCATCTTTTTATTTAACTCTTTTGCATGAAAGAGGAATAAAAATGTGGCTGTTAAAATTTTTGTCACCTAAGGATCTGTAGTGCTCTAGAATGGAGAATCCTTTCCTACAGCCAAGTAGGCCAGGGTTATGAAAGTCACGTAGCAAAAGCCTTCTGTTTCCTGAAGGACTCGAGATGTAATTAATAAGGCGGTAGCTGATAGTCTTTGATACCATGCTTAGCATGCTTATATCCTTCACTGGAAGAAAAAGAGAGAGAAAAGGGGAGAAAACCCCACAACAGTTAGTCTTTTTTCTCTAACAAAACACTGGTGATTATCAGCCAAGAAGAATTCATTTTATCAGATAAAACGGTTGGCTTTGTGGATTCAATCTTGTAACTAAGGGCTTAGCATCTGGCCTTCTAGTACTACTTTCCCTTCATTATATACCTCAGCTGTTTTCTTCCATGTTCACACACTTAAAAAGTGCTCTTTTGTTCTCTCCTCCCACTCAAATGAGGATTAGTGGAAGACTTTGGCAGAACCCTCCACTCATTATGGATTTCAGCTATTGTGCATTATAAGTAGCAAATTCTGACAGACTCTACGGGTGTCTATATCTCACTTACCTTAAAAGCTCTATTGGGGTCATAATAAGTCACTTCCAACTTCATGACACATTAAAAAACATTTAAATACAACAATGCATGCAGAGCAATAATATGGGAAGTTAGAGGGTGAGAGTTCATGGTAGAATAACCACTATTTCCTGAAGTTTTGCATGGCTCCACATCCATGCTTGTTCAGATGGGAGGGAATACAATTATGGCAACTCCAGGGCTGGCATAGATTTTTTTAACCTTTGCTGGAGCTTTATTTCGTGGAGACATGGCTTAAAATGTTTTCCTGACTCCATGCCTTAGCATTATCAAAGTTGCAACAGTGGAATAGCTGTGGTGGTAGATTTTCCTTTCTCTTTGTCACAGCAGACCTCCCTCTGCACCTCCAGAATATAGATCCTGAGACACTCTCCCAGGAATAACTGAATTGTATCCCAAATGAGCACACTGATCCTGTAAATGTGCCATCAGGCTGCATCCAACTTGTAGCAAACCTAATAGGGTTTTCAATATATATAATATATTTAAGGAATGATTTTACCATTGCCACTCACAGTTTCTGCAGGCTGCATCCAACTTGTAGCAAACCTAATAAGGTTTTCAATATACAGTATATAATATATTTAAGGAATGGTTTTACCATTGCCACTCACAGTTTCTGCAGCTAAGCAGGAATTTGAACCCAGATCTCCCAGGTTCTGATGCTATTTAAGGAATGGTTTTACCATTGCCACTCACAGTTTCTGTAGCTAAGCAGGAATTTGAATCCAGATCTCCCAGGTTCTGATTCATAATTCTCTCCACTATGTCTCACTCAATAGTACTTTGCCATGTGTTTGGGCAATTGGTATGGCTGCAATATTTCGCAGGTGGGGTAAAGCTGTCTTAACAGATATACTACATACATACAAATACCTACCTGGCAAATATTCTAAAATCATGTGAAATATTTCTAAAGGAAGTGTTCTGAAATTCCCAAGGGTTGACAAAGATAGAGAATCTGTATCCGGGGTTTTGCTAAACTTGCGAGAACGGCGGTAGCTACGTCGGTATCTCTGGTTAGGAATTAGGGTATAGCTGGCTCTTAGAGGAGATGTCCTCCTTCTTTCTTGTTCCATAAATTTAGCCTGGAAGAAAGTCCACAGGGAAGATAAAATAAAAGAAATCACAAATTGAAGGACTACATAGTGGCATAGTTGACTATATAGTTGATATACAGTTGCTGTACCGTGTGTACATTTGAATTTTATAAGCACAGTTCAAAATGAAGCATTCTTTCAAATCTATATCAGTAATTTCCTAAACAATATGTGATATGTAAATATGACTGTTTTGGTGTACTGCCAGCATTCCCTTGTGACACAGATTGAAAGTAACTGTTCTGCAAAGAGGAGAACATCAATTTCCTGCTTTTTGTCTACCCATTGCAGGAACTAGGTGGAAATGATCACAGACGTTATCTGAGGCTCCATCGATAGCACCGAGTCCAGTAGTACACCCAAGCTGCAAACCTCATCCTTAGTGGAGTGAGTAATCCCTCAAAGAAGAAGGAGGCATCCAATCCACAAACACTGCCCAGCTGTGTCCCTACCTTGACACTGGGTCCCTCATCATGCTGGTTCATGCAGTGGTAGTCTTGAGAACAGACTAATGTAATGCTCTCTACTTGGGGCTGCCCATGAGGATGTTACAGAGACTTCAGCAGATCCAGACCACAGCAGCCAGATTATTGGGTGGCATCAAGAAACATCAACATATTTCTCCCATCCTGGCCAACCTGCATTGGTTACCCATCCATTTCTATGCCAGCTTCAAGGTGATGGTGTTAACTTATAAAGCCCTAAAAAGTTTAGGACCTCAATAGCTGGCAGAACGCCTCCTCCCAACGAAATCTGCCCCTCCCATATGATCTTCCTAGGCTGGGCAATTAAGAATATTGATTCCAAGAGAGGCCCAGAAAGAGAAAAACAGAAATCAAGTCTTCTTGGCAGTTGTAGTCAGCTTTGGAATAACCTCCCACCCAAAATCCATCTGGTCCCTTCACTGAGAATTTTTAAGCAACTGTAAAAAATGTGGCTTTTCCAACAGGCCTTCCCAGACCTTACAACACCTCAATTACAACTCCTAATTACAGTGACTGGTAATTTACACTATCAGTCCTGCTAACTCCTGCGACGTTGCTGGAATCAGTTGTATTGGATCTTGCCTTTCCATTGGACCATTTCAGCAACATGGAGAGGGGGGATCTGCTGCTTGGGTATCAGCCTATCCTCCATATTACTTTACCCAGGCTTCATGCTCTGGAGAGGACACTCCTCGATACAGAGCATGTTACCATAGTCTCTCGAGACTGAAGGATGCCTATGCATGCATTCCTGCTATCTTGTTCTTTATTGTTATTGTTGTTGTTGTTGTTGTTGTTGTTGTTGTTGTTGTTGTTGTTGTTGTTGTTGTTTTATCTTTATTTTGATTTTATATTATGTTTATTGTTTGGAATTGTATACAGTATGCTTTATTTGTTTAATGTGTAAACTGCCCAGAGTGGCCTAGTAGCCAGATGGGCAGTACAGATGCCAAATGAACAAACAAATAAACAAACACACATGTGAAGGCAATAGTGCCAAGAGAAAAGTCTCTAACTGATGAACTTAACACCCAAGCATGCTTATGTGGTAAACAAGGTGCTGGCAACAACTTGGACACAAGCCATTAAGAGCTTTATAGGTTTAAACCAACACTTCAAATCCCTCTGAAGATCTACGGATCATCAGCCAGTAGATCTTCAGAGGGATTGCGTGATCCCTGTAACCAACCTCGTTAGCAAACTGGCTGCCATGTTTTGGATTCACTGAAGGTTCCAGACACTATCCAGAGGCAGCCCCATGTACAGTATGTTATAGTAATCCAGCTAGGATGTAACTAAGGTATGTGCCACTGTGGCCAGATCAGACCTCTCCAGGAATGGATGCAGCTGGTAAACTAGTTTTAATTGTGCATCTACACATTTCTAAACATCATAGGCAATTTGTGATCAGAGCAGGGGTATGTACCACTGACTGAAATGGCAGAGTGAACCATGCCCCCTTTGGAAAGTAAGCCATTGGTATCACGTATCTGACCTACCTACCATGAACAGGTTGGTCTTGAGTGGAATGAACTTCTTCTTATTGATCTTCATACAACTCATCACTGACTCCACTCCAGAAAGTTGTTTAGAAGTTCTTCCACCTTGTCAAGATATGAGAAAGGAACAGCTCAGTCTCATTATCAACTCTACTGATGACCCTGAACTTGAAATCCTCAACTCACCATGGGCATGACAAATAATATGGAAAATAAGATGGAAATGTGAAGCTCCACACAGATCACCTCCCATAAGTAAAAATCTTTCAAACCCCGCCCCCCTTATGTAGAATCTACATGGTTCATAAGAGTGGAGGCATTGCCTTGTGTCACCTTAAAGACTAGCAAATTTTATGTGTTATAAGCTTTATGGATGGTACCTTTCAGAAGAAGGGAATGGTCAAGCAGTTGGTCAAGTACAGTACTTTGTATGGTCAAGTACAGTACTTTGTACCTAGAAAATCTTGGAAATGGTCGATATAAGTCCTATATGACTTGACAGTATGTTGTTATTATTATTATTTGTGAACTATAGCCCATCTCTTCAGATCTGCTAATATTGCATGAGGAAGAGGTCTATAGTCCACAAAAGCATATGCTAGGGAAAACATATTAGTCTGTAAGGTGTCAAAAAAGGCTTTGTTGAAAATAAATTTGTATCTTAAGTTTTTCAAAGATCATGCACAGAAGAGCAATCTGAACTTGCATCATGTATGCTGAGATCTGGTACCCTAGCTCTCAGATAAGCAAATAAAAAGAAAGAAAGATCTATTAGAATTAAAGCTGCTTTTCATCACTGTGGCGCAAAATGTGAACTTTTAGTTTTGCATGAGGCAAAATGTATGGATAGGTCACAGGGAGGAGACAGAGCTACTCCACCAGTTTAAAATGGCAACCATATTGGAATAATTTACTTCAAATTTGTCCAGGGCAATTTTTAAAGATAAATATTTCAATCTAGATTAATAGTTTAATGGTACTGTGATGGCACCAGTTTTTTTTTGCATATATAATTTCTGAAGTAAATTTTTGAATCACTGATAAAATATGTTCACTCCTATTTACATATTGCCAGTCACATATCCATTAACGTGTATAAAATATAGGGTTGTTACGGCAGTAAACTCCTTATGTTCAGAATTAAAATGTAGCTATTTTTGTTAACAACAAAATACTTCAGCAGTTAAATTGATTTCACATATCAAACTATACAAGAACTGATACTCCTTATAATTAACATCACACTATTTGAGATTCCCCCTTCCATTCTGAATATTTATTTAAATAAGATAAATAGTCAAAATGTCAATAAATCCATACAGAATTCAAATATATTCCCTGTCTTTGTGATTTTAAATGTATACACATTTCCAAAGATTTCAGGCATATATGAGCTACAGTCACAATCATTTAAATAGCACTTATTACCAATTAATAAGGCTATCCTTATTTGTCTTATGCAGGGAATGTTTGCCTATAAAGTAATTTTAATTTTTCTAGCTATACAGAAACCAGAGGGATTAATATATTCCTACTTCACCGAGGACAACTCTGGGAGAGAGAAAGTCTCTGCGTATCCACGCAGTGCGGGAGACTGAATTTACCACAGGATTGTTATTTTTCACGGTAACTGTTCCTCTGAACTAGATAAACACCCGATTCTCTCTCTCTCTCTCTCTCGGAATGCACTGTTTTAAAGTTCCCGCCTCCCCGCTTCCTCCCTCTTCTACCCGAGAAGCCACCTTGCGGCTTAGAAATCTCCCGCCCTCCCGGTAAGGAATACAGTACTGTACTTTAAAACCCCTGCTCCTCCGGAGGGATATCCCGCCCTGCTAACGAGCAAGGACGTTCACAGGACGGGACGTCCCTCAGGACGAGCAGAGGTTTTAAAATATTGATTATCGGGAAGGCAGGAGAAAAGGCTCCGGACAAAAGGAATAAAAGAATAAAAAAAAAAAGACGAACGTTACATATTTTTAATGTGAGCGACAAAAGGAATAAAAGAATAAAAAAAAAAACAAATAAAAAGATAGAAACATGGTGGCACCTTAGCTTTATATTTCTTATCTAACTTTATATTTCTTTATATTTCTTTATAAAAGATAAAGACGAACGTTACATATTTTTAATGTGAGCGTTCATGGACAAGTCCTCTTCCTCAGACATAAGAGAAAAAGACATAAGGGAAAGTCTCTCTCTCTCTCTCTCTCTCTCTCTCTCTCTCTCTCTCTCACACACACATTGAAGCAGAACTTTTCCCATGTGGCTGAACTCCAGGCTTATGACAGTCATAGTACTGTATATTATTTATAGATTTATTTTTATTATTTGCTGTATACACTGCTTTTCTCCTCACGGGCTATAGATTGTACAAGGGGAAAGGGCTTCCTAAATTAGACACAAACAATGGTTAAGAGGTTATTGTTTCCTTTCTGACAATTAAACATAGTCACACCCCATAATACTAAAATGCCCTCTAGCCAGCTGTGAATAAAGACCAGTCAGACACAGAAGAGAGGTCCCCATATTTCCCTTGCTGAATGATCACAGTCCTGTATGCTCAGCTCACATGTGTGTACGTAGATAGATAACAGGCATTTGTACCTGCTGTCTCTTCTGCCTGGCTTATATTCATTCAGCCTGAATAGAAGCTATGGCTAAATAAATGGTCAATTATTATCTTATTTGTGCATTAATTTTATTTATTTTATTTCATTTTATTTAATATATTCTGTTACAGCAGCTCCACTGGTTGCCAATCAGTTTCTGAATAAAGTTCAAAGTGTTGGTTCTTCTAACCTATAAGGCGCTAAATGACTGGGTCCAAGCTAACTCAAAGACTGTGTCTCCCATTATGAGACTGCTTGGATGTTGAGCTCATCAGGCCAGCCTTTCTCTCAGTCCCACCACCTTCACAGGTTCAATTGGTGAGGACACAGGAGAGCTCCTCCTCTGTTATTTGTCCCAGACTTTTTGACCCCTCTCACAGGAGGCCAGGCTGGCCCCATCTTTGCTGTCCTTCATCAAGCAGGCAAAGGTCTTTCTCTTTAGGCAAGGCTGTCTCTTAATGACTGGCTGCTTGAGTGGGTTCTTTTAATGGGAGTTTGAATGCTTTTAATATGTGGAGTTGGACAGGAGACACATGTGTGTGTGCAGAAAGAAAGTCTGGGAGAATGTGAGTCAGTGTGTTGTAGTGGACAAAGTATTGATCCAGACTTCTGGAGACCTGGGTTCAAATAATGATAGACCACCCCTTGAACATTTCAAATGCTTGAAAACCCTACTAGTGTCTCTGTAAGACAACAGCAGCTTGAGAGTGTATAACAATAAAAATAACAAGCACAGAATAATTTACAACCTCATTTGATAGTTGTATCAACTAGTTTGACAGTTGATGGCTTAGTTGTCAGTGTAAAGGAACAGAGCCCTTAATCCTTACCAGAGGTTCAGTTCCAAGGCCCCTTAGGTAGAAGCAATAAGAGTTTACATTTCTTTTTGTGATGTATACATAGTCCATTTCAACAACACTTTAAAAGAACCAACAATTTAAAGTGGATCTCTTTTTAAAAACCACTAGAGGTCCCTTCTAACTCAAAATTGTGTTTGATTGAGTCATCCTGATTATGGGAATAAAGTGCCCAAATATAGGAGTAAGTTTTGGAAATGAAATTATTTATATCTACACAGACCAGATGTCCCCTTTTGCTTCAGGTTCAATTAACAACCCCTTCGTATTTCCTAGAAGGTCTTCTGGGAGTGCAACACATACTTGACTTTGACCTGGAGATGCTCCAGTATTTATTTATGTATTTATTTGGCTTATTCTTAACAGTTCTGATCCTGGTGTCGGCAGTTGCCTCTCTCTCTCTCTCTCTCTCTCTCTCTGTGTGTGTGTATGAGGAGGCAGGCCTCTCTCTCTCTCTCTCTCTCTGTATGAGGAGGCAGTGGTGGGTGGGAGAGGGGAAGAGCTGTCTGAGGCAGCTGCTTAGCAGCTCCCTAAGTAAGGATGAGCAAGAACTTTCTCTTCATTTCCTCCTAACACCAGATCTATGACTCATGACAATGTAAAACCTACCAGATGCTTTCAAAAGTGTCTTTTCCTCTCTACTTTTTTTGTTTGTTTGCTTGCTTTTCCTGGGTCTTGTGAGAATAAGAGGGGAGAGAGGGAGAGGCAGCTGTGGCTTTGCTGAGAGGTGCAAACAGACAGAGGGAAGATAGGCATGCAGTTTCTTCAAACAGAAAATAGCATACTTCAAGATTATATTGAGTGGTAAATCACTCCTTCCCCTCCTCTCTTCTGCTGTGGCTGCAGCATGTAGTTTCAAAGACTTTGAGTGAAACCCTTTGCTTAGAATAGTAGGTTGCAATAGTAGGTCCATTGACTCCATGGGGATTTGGTGAGTCAGCTCTTCTTTAAGTTCCATTGATTCAATGGACCTACTTAGTTGTAGCTTACTGTGTTAAGATTTCAACTGTTAGTGCCTGATTTGAACAAAATAAGAAAACAGTAATGCAGATATGAGTACAGTATTCGAATCTTCTTTTGTATCCAGTTCTGTATTTTGGCTACTCGCAGGACAATGGATCTGGAGATACTGTGCCTTCTTGGGCTGTGAACTAGTAAGTTCCTATTGTGGGTGCTGCTTGTTAAATGTTGGTTGGTTGGCTCTCTCTCTCTCTTACCAACCAACTAATTACCAACCAACTAATGGTTGGTTGGTAATTTTTACTTCATTACACTCTTCAGTCCCATCAACTGCTAGGCAAATCAACAATCTAGCGTTTAAAAGCGCTTTTCAAACAATTCCACAAAAATCACCAGTTTACAAACAATAGCTAAAAGGCAATGACAATGAATTGGGCCTTTTTGGTGGTGGCTCCAGTCTCTGGAACAAGTCACCCACTCAGTTTTGCCAGGCTCTTTCTCTCCTTATGTTCAGGAAACTGGCAAAAATGAAATGATTGAAAGCTGCGTTCAACAACTGGCTTCCAGAATGCTGTGTTTTTTTCCATTTCTTTTTTATTTTTGAATGAATATTAGACATTATAGTTGTGTATTTCCATATTG